ATTGTATGGGAGGCGAAGTGGGCAAACAAAAAGAGGGGTAGGCAACCGACGGAATGGGTCAAAGTTGTAGAGGACTTATGGAAGGGGCTCGACATGGACGAANAATCCAAGGATAAGGAGGGTCTAGAAGTGTACGGAATGTTGAAGGAAGGAATAGGGTTCAAGGACTACCTACATGGACCAATGGATGCAGGAACAAAGCTTAAGGTCAAATTCAGGACCGGGGACATAGGCCTTCGAGAACGTCGACGAAGACATAGGACGGTAGACGAGGAAGACGACGAGTTCAAATGTGATTGCGGCTTCGAATACGAAGACCGTGTTCATGTAGCGGAATGTCCGTTGTACAAGAGGAGAGGGAAGTGTACGTGACTGAGATGGGAAACATAGATGGAACGTACAGGGAGATGTTTGAGACATGGAATAGAAAGGAAAGGACGGTAGCTGTACTGGGGCATAGGAGCTGGGTTGAAAAGGCGGGAAGGGATATCGTTAGGATAGACTAGGGAAGACATTTTTGAGCCACCTTTGGCAAAGTAGAAAGGAACGATTGGCCATCGGTGATCGGTCCTGTGGCAACAATGCTCCGTTCTCTCGAGGACGCGTGGTCAATGGCCTAACTAACCGCTAAGGCATGCAAAACATAAGAGTACGCCCCCCCCCCCCCCTCCCCCCCCCCCTAGCTGTACAGGGAGAGCAACAGCGCACCAGCAACCATCTGCATGTCCTACTACCCCCCTAGTACAATACGGAGATACGAGTACAGCAAGAGCGATGTAGCAGCACTAATTGTGACAAATAGAATATGCGAACAGGATGCCAACCAATTACCATTGATCAACATCCAATGCCATCTCAACGCGATTGCACTATCGACAACAACAAGAAAAAAATAAAAAAAAACGAAAAAACGTGGTATTCGTTTTGCCAACTACGTTTGAGTCATCGCCGCCACCCCTGGTATTTGTCTAGAATAGAAAAAACATACCAGCTACATGCACGTACCAAACTATTGGCTTTGGTTCGCGCGCCCACCTCGCTGCTATTTAATTTACTGTCTACTTTTGAATCCCATCACACCAGAAAAGGAAATGATCCCGTGCTCTGTATCTATCCTGAACGCTGTGACTTGCCTGTCGTAGGTAAATGTGTATCAGACGTGGTCAAGTAAATCCTCGAAGGGGGGGGAGGTCAAGTAGTACACATCCCCCGTACCTGTAGTACCGTGATTGCGTGTCAAGTCCTTCAAGTGAAAAGTCTCCAAGAGGTGAAGTGAAACAAACGATAAAAGAAAAACACCGAGATTTCCGGAAAACAGTAAAGTTGGCTTATGTGCGATAAGGAATGTCTTTCTCTGGTGCACCCTCCCTCTACCAACTATCCGCAGATTTTAACATGTGATACAGTGTAAGCACAAGGGAGACGGGTGTACGGGCGCGCTGCTTGCGACACTCCTCAGCACCAAGAAAGGCCTCCCACGGACACGAACAAGCAGTAACGGCGGGGAAGCAGCGGCCAGCTACTCTTTCACACAGCAGCTCCAAAGCGTCACCATTCGACCCCTTGCACACACGCATCAACAAAACGAAACACCAACAACAAGAGAGAAAGAAGAAGGAACGAGGTGGAACGCACACAGTCACCAACAACTCATGCACTGCTGCTGCTCCACCGAGGTAGAGTGCAAGACATAAAAAGAAGCAGAAAAATACAACACGGTTCACGGAAAAGAACACCATAACGATGGGGGCGGTTGAACGGCGGGAGCGGGGCAAGCGGCGGGGCCGGCTTCCTTTCTGATGCACGCCGCTCCGACCCCGTCCGCTAGACAAGCCTCGAGCTTGGGAGATGATGAGGGGCTGATGATGGTCTCTTCTCCTACATATTGATGCAGCCCGCTCGCACCCCGCGGGAATCGAGCTGTGGAGATGGTCAGAGACTGATGATGGCATCTTCGGGGTAGCCCCTTCGGACCAGGTAGTCGGTCACCTTTCGTGTGAAGAAATCTGGCCCTGTTGATGACGGTGGAGGTCGCAAGCGAAGAGGTGGGGCAGACAATCAGCATTCGGGGGAGGGGGTAGTCCAGCAAATCTTCTGGTTTTGAACAGTCAGGGCTTGTCGTA